TATAACACATGCGAATAAAACGCGTAAATGTATAATTTGTCAATACTAATATTATATAACGTAATATTTCATTTCAGGTCTCGATCGTTTTTATTTGTATTGAATTTAGTATATCGTTCAATTTCACTTGTATTGTATTTATATTGGCAACTGATTCGGTCACTTTTGTGTGTATGGTATTTTGTTTATTTTACTTCTCATTTGCTTTTATCAATATTACATATAGGAGTATGTCGTTCGTTTTTATGAGAATTGGATTTAACATATCGTGCAATTTTATTTGTATTGTATTTATATTGGCAACTGATTCGGTCACTTTTGTGTATGGTATTTCATTTGCTTTACTTCTCATTTCCTTTTATCAATATCGCATTATTACAGTCGATATTAAATTTTTATAGATCATAATAAAAGATAATTATTTCATTTTTTTTTCCTCTCACAACATGAGTCATTTTACCATGCTAAAAAAGCAAACAAAATTAGAAAAAATAATATTAGAAAGACAAATGCAAAAGGTTTAAGCCATTTTCATAAAAGCAACGTTTTGCTAATAGCAATACAATGTTTGTGAAAAATATAACATAGATTACAACCACAGCATAAGCAATCCGGTCTCAAAGTTACGTCAATATAAAACAAACACCTAAAGTGGAACAATCGTCTTTCAGAAGGTTAATGGTGCATACAAGTGCATTAAGAACCAAGTAAACTACACTATGTTTTGAAAATTTTTAAAAGAGTAGTAGCATAAAAAAATAAAAGGTGGCTTAAATTTTAACTAATATCATAATTCTTTTACTTATCATAATCCGATTTATTTAGCAATAATTCCGGAATTTTTCTTTTGAAAATGGAAATGCTGCCTATAAACTTGAGTTCGTCCGGCAAATCATTGAACATTTTTAAAGATTCATACAAGCAGTTACTTCTATGCCTAGCCGTTCTTAAAAGTGACAAGTAGTAATTACACCTGTTTCGAGTATTGTATCCGTGAAATTCGAAGTTTCGTCGCAAAATAAAGCTATGTTTAAGGCTGTTGTTAATTGCTTTGAAAGCAACAAGATAAAGTTGACACTTGCAAATATCGAAGATGGGTTGGGTGTAGGAGAAGATATCAGTTTGATAGTTTTCTTTAGCAGAATGTCAACCTTTCCTAGAACGACTTGCGAGGCCCCACTTCAAATCGGATTAAGGTAGACAACATTGAACAATATATTTCCACAGCACCCAGTGTCATTGTAAACAAATGTAGAATCTGCAAGTATACGATTTTTAAAATTTCTAACATATTTAAACTTTGATTTCTGACGCATTAAACTGACTAATATAAAATTCACATACATTTTTAAGGTTAAATATTTTATGTACAATTAGAAAAAATTTTAAACTAAAATTATGTGAATATCTTTGAAATTTAATCAATGCCACTGCGAGAAGTAATTTTGTAAATTTTACTTTTTTCTTTTTCGCAAATGCAAATTCTGTTTAACATTAACATCTTTAGCGTTCCTGTAGAGTTCAGCTTGAAATGGACAATAACAGATCTCCTTGTTTACAGTGAATCCAAGATCAGTGGCAAATAATGGTTCATACGCTTTTTTTCCATAAACTCAGATTTGGATTTTAGAGACTTGAATTCTATTAGGTGCAAATTATTTGGTTGTGCATTAGATTTGCTTGGCAGAAGAGTTACTTGTGCAAAATCTTTTTTAGTAACAGTGGATTCAATTATTTTTGCAATTTGAAAAGTTGTATCTTCTGGATTACTCATGCTACCTACCAAACCGTCCAAAACAATATAATTTTTTCTTTCTAATTGTCTATTTAAATCTAATGGACTTTCGAGTTTATCTCCACATTGCAATTTTTTTTTCTAAGTTAGCTGAGCGAGCTCTCAGAATTTTATTTTCGTCTTCGATTTTCCGATTTTGTTTAACAAGATCTTCTGAAAGGATTGAAACTTTCGTGATATTCTTTTTTCTATTACTAGAGTTGCTAGTGCTTTCAGAAAATTCGCAACTTCATCCATGTTGCAGTTGCTCATATCAAAAGTCACTAATTCATCTGCGGGATCAATACATTCGGCATTTTGTTGGTATTCATTATTATCTGAAAGGCGTGGTCTGGAACATTCAACAGGGCGAACGACTCATAAGTTAGAGGAAGGAAAATCTTTATTTGTGAACAAATATTGCATTATTTCGATTTTGTTTTTCTCAATATATGTACAGTTAACCGCAAAAAAGAAACTTTGATTTTATCTCCAACAGGATAATAATTCCAACGTAAGAAAAGTATTATACTTTTTAAGCACTTAATTGTAAGATGTCTATTACTTTTTAGTGTTACCAACGAAAAAAAAGAAAAAATACTTAAATATAAGAAGTTTACCTCTTCTAAATATTTTGTAAATTTATGTCCTTTTTCTTCATTTGTTTTTCTTTTAATCTTTTGTGTCTTTGTATATAATTTTTATCAACTGGGTCTCTCGTCAACTGCCACCTTGTTCCAGCTCTTCTCTTTTCACTAATTAATTACTTTATGTACTTAGGGTACGTGATGTTATTTGATTTTTGTATATAGTTTCCCGTATTTTCCATGAAACATGTTCGGAATTCATGTCCCCATCTAACATGAATGTTTCTGCTTGTTCTTGTAGAATTTTAGTATAATCATCCTTTTTCAAGTTGAATTCGGGAGGTAAGTATATTGCACCAACCACAAGTTTCCGTTTTCTGTACTTCAATTGACGTTGGTTGGCATTCCATCTCTTGTATCCTATTCTGGATATTGTAGTTTAAATTATCTTTGATTGATTATTTGGATGTCGACTTAGGTGAGTATTATATTTTACAATACTTATGTGTGTATCGAAGCTTTTGGCATCTTTTGTTCGTTAACGCTTTTTTTTTACCTTCATGTTGCATTTGGAATTTATGTTATATATTTTTTTTGTTTTCAGTGTTATTTAATGTTGATATAAACAATGGTTGTTTAGTTATATATTCTTTATCATTCAATTTTTTTTATTACATTTATTTACTACACTCATTATTTTGTATTCTCTTTCCAGCAATTCCTTTTTAATATTATCTGGATCATACGATGGTTGAAGGTACATGATCATTACCCTTATAGATCTGGTCTGCTTATTTTCGTATGAGTACCATTTCATCTTAGCAATGTTCGCGTAATTCGTAAGCTCCCTGTATGCTTCTTCCGTATTTACATTGATCTTGATCTGGTTGTTGTTTAGCATATATGATGTATGCTTCATGTTTTTATTTTTCAGGTCCTTGCTAAGAGCAACGTAACTTTTTACGTTACTAAATATTACTTGTCGTTGCTTCTGATGCTTTTTTGTTACTGACCTTTTTCCAATTATGTTTCTATTGGTCTCTGTAGGTGTACTGATATTTGATTCGAATTGGAAACTACTTTCCGACAGTATACTTCGTAAAAGTAAGCTATATTTGTTCTAGTTTCTAACGTTCTCCTTATTATCTCGAAATTGGCGATGTTGGAGTACTTGTATCCGTTATCTTTACATTTTTTTTTTTTGTTAGCATCCAGTCTGTTTTCTTTGGCTTTGTGTGATTGTAGACCCAAAACAAAATCATGTAAATCTGCAAGCTGTTGTGAAAGAACATGAGAGGCCACTAACAGACGCAGTGCATAAAATGCTTTATTTCCTTGTGATATTCTGTTACTTATTTTCACCGATATTTCATTTTTCGCGAAATCTTGACTTTGATTTAAACCTCTTTTTGTAGAGCAAGAGCTTCTGATTCTTTCTTAAAATTGTTAAAATTTTCCCTCAGAGCCGTTAAATTCTTTGATAGAATAGTGAGGTCCTCGGCGTTTGCTAGGATCTGAGTGGTTTTTCTAAACAAATTTCCCTTTGTTTCCACTCCGCTATTTCTCACAATGAACTTTGGAGCCAAGTTGAATAATGTTCTCGAGAGTCCATGTCCTTGCTTTAGACTGATGTTCACTTCAAAAGCTCTGAGACAGTGTTCCATTTATTTTCACATAATATTTCGAGTCTTGCACCGTCTTTTGTATCGCCATTTTTAGTTTCGGTGGAATCCCAAGTCACTGCAGAGTATACCACAAACCCTCCTGATCAACCGAATCATACGCCTGCTTGTAATCTACGCATAGCTGGTGAACTGGAATATTAAGCTCGCAATGCTCCAAAATTTGACGTATCTCAAATATATGATCTGTAGTTGATCTTTGTTGTCGGAAACCGGTTTGATAATCATCTAATATTGACTCAGTGTATTGAGCTGGTCTTCTCTGTAGCAGGTTTGAAAATAAAATATTTGAAGCCACTGTTTAGCAGGGCTATACCTCTATAACTAGAACACACACTCTTGTCTCCTTTTCTTTTGTATACAGGTACAATAAGGGCTTGCTTCGAATTCATTTGGCAAATCCTGACCATCCCATATCCTTCGCATTAGTATGTGAAGTTGCTTAATTAGCTCCTCATTTTCTGTTTTGAAAAGTTCGCCTGGTATGCCACCATTTCCGGCTGCTTTATGTTTTTTTAAGACTTTTTTTTTGCAAAACGGATTTCGTCTGCTGTTAGATTTTCTTCATTAATGCCTGCTGTTACTAGTGGGGTTCTAGTTTGCGTGCCAGCATTATTTGGGCGGCACAGCAGCTGTGAAAAATGTTATTGCCATGTACTGAGTATCTGACCCACCTCTATCTGCAGCGCTCCGTTAGTATACCCTATTGTTGTTGCTGATAGTTCGAATGGTTTTCTAAATCTGTTATATATTTTTTTTTTTTTTTTTTCCTTTGTTCACTCCTAGAAGGAGCATAGGGCTAGTGCTAGTGCATGATTTCTCATGCACTAGTTTCATAGCGTCATAGGGTTTAACTAGGTAGGTGACTAGCCTGCCGTAGTGTTTTTTTTTTTTTTTTTTTTATTTATATATTAAGTATTTGAGGTTGTTAATATTTACTATTTATTTTTCTTAGTCTTTTTTTTTTTTTTTTTTTTTTTTTTTTTTAATATCGAATATTAGGAATATTTGAAAATTACTTGTATAATATTTTTATTAGTATTGTATATTAAGTTATAATAATATTGAATATAATTTTTATAGTGACCTGACCGGGGTTTGAACCCGAGACCCTTCGATTAAAGGACCGGTGCCATAACCAAATTCTGTTATATATAGTTCTCTAGAATAACCGATTTCTACTATTTCCTCCACTTGTTTTCGTTTATGCTGTCTCTGTTTCTAGTTTTTCGGTCAAGATTTTTTGGTACGATGCACTCTCATGTTAATTTTTTAGCTTCACAGTGTCAAATTTCTCATTGGCCTCGCTCTTGCAGAGCTTCCAGCACAGAGTCTCCATTCTCATTTATTTCGTACAAGATAGTGGTCTGAGTTGATATCTTCTCCCCTGAGACTTACATCCAATATCCAATGGATATGCCTCCTTAAGATCATGACGTGATCGATTTGATTGTGTTAATTCTTTTGGTGATGTCCATATTCTTTTGTGTATATTTTTATGCGGAAATGTTGTGCTAGCTGTGATCAAACCAGACGCCGTTTCCAAAATAATTAGTTCTTCGTGTAGTATGTTAAATAGTAACAGTTTGAAGGTATTCCTCTTCTTTCGCAAAAGGTTCCTTTTAGCGTTCCTGGGCTATGTAAAGTTCCATGTTCATTCCATGTTCCGATAAATAAATCTCTAAACCTATTACATTGGCTGGTTCGGTGCCGTAAACTTCATTCTGATATCCGAGGCTGTAGTGTTGGATTCGTAACAATATTTTTTTCACAGGATTGGGTTGTTAGCCCCAAGCCCAACCGCCATCCTTGGAGGACCGCAATAATACATCTGGATATTTAGGCCAGCGCGATATTTATGGTTATCCCGCCAATAACAGGTTTTCCTCATCCGTTTCAAACGGGCCTCGCCACGAAAAAACTGAGGTTGATATTAGATTTCTAGAGGTTATATATTCGCTTAAAGATCCGTGAGACCCATTAATCATTATTTGATCATTTAAATTTATTAGTGATGTATTACGAGGTGGTGACCGCCGTGTTTTGTTTGAGACCATGAAAGGACAGCTAAACTCATTTCCTTTAATATAATTTTATTCAATATAATCTTAATTTTATTCAATATAATTATTCACTAAATATAAATCAAAGTTAAATTTTAAAATAAGTTTTTTTACCCTTCAGCGATATAGCCTCCCATAAAAAATTTATGTGTGGACCAAAGGAATGCTAGTCTTTCTATTTGTAAAAACTTATCCTGTACACACAATCGCAAAAATATTAAAATGGCTTGTAAATTATAGGAGTTTATGATTGTGCACGTCACACATTATATAATTCTGATGAGCACTATCGAATGATTTGGACTATCGAATTTTCGAATACTAAATAGTTTTAATTATCGAAAAACGAATATTGAATATATTTCAGTATCGAATATATCGAATAATATTTATTTTGAATTTAAAATATCTTTATAATAGATAATGTATACTAAACATAATAGATATGTAGTTCAAATTGGAGTAGGGTAACTAAAGTTATATTTTCGTATATTCTTTAGAATTTAACATAATCACAATTGTTTTTCAAAAAATTTTCAACAAATGTAAAATTTCAAAGGATTTACTTTATCGTTTGCTTCGTTTTTTGCTTCGATGCACAACCAAACTTATATTTAAATGAAAGTCGCAACCTTCTGTACGTTCAATTTTCAAATTTAAAAATTTAAAGGTAGTTTAAAAGTTGCAAAAAACATAGCTACAACCTTATATTTGAAGACGCTAAAAAAATTAAGAAATTAGCAATATTTCTACGTCCGCATTAAATACATATTTATTCTTTAATAAGATGCAGGATGATTCGATGCAATATAACATCGTGCGGAGGGTCGAAAATGACCTAGTTAGAATTTTCCTAAAGTTCGAATGCTTGTATTTCTGAAAAAGCATGTAAAATCAAACAACCTACTGTTCTTTATTTAAAACCGTCATAAAGCTCTTTAATAAACTATTTGTTTGAAACTTCTATCTTTTTTGGAATCGAAGTTAAAAGCAAAAAACTTAAGTATATTAAAGTTTCGCCAAAGTGTCTTAAAATCCTTCTAGCTCGTAAACGGATCCGATTAAACGCTATGTTGCGGACAAAAACTTTACTCGTTTTCGACTCTTTCTTCGTTGGTATACGGCTTCTAATTTGTTGGTGAATTCTCCTATACATAGCTGATTTGTGACATATACAATGTAGTTAGATTTTATGACTACATTTTCAGTTAGCCTTTTGAGATTCTTCATGAGCAGTAAAAATAATTTGTATTTTTTAACAATATAAGATAAAAAAAATAGCATATAATATCAAGAATGCAGTGCAGTTAAATATGATAGAAAATGTAATTCCTTCACACTGTGCTGATTTCTACTAGTTTGTATTTCTAGAAGCATATAAAACTGTGGCAGATATGGGAATATCAACGTATTAGCGTAATGTCTTTATATCTAACAAGTCCCAATACTCAATTTTTTTTACGAAATATTACGAATTTTTGGCTTCGTTCCTGTTTTTTTCTTTAAATGCTACTGATCGTTACATTTTTCTTTTTATTTCTTTCTTTTTTTACTTAAAAAAAACTTTAATATTTTAAAAAATCTCAGAATATTATACACATTTTTTAAAAGGCTTCCCATTTAAATTCTATTGCACGAAAAAGAAAGAAAGGTAGGAGGAAAGAAAAAATGAAAAAAACAAATCAAATTCATATTTCAGTATGGTTTCAAATGTTAATGAGGAAGGATGTATGATTTTTTATGCACATTTTGTATTTCCCAATAAGGTAAGTTAAGTAGTGTCGGCTAACAAAAATGTTAGTAAAAGTAATATAGGTTGACACATTTCAACAATTTGAATTATCTCATTTCGGTTATTTATACGTTACTTATAAAATTGTTTCAATAATTTCAGTTAGGTTTTAAGTTATTAAAAATAAATATGTATGTACCTACTTCCAATTAATTTTTTTTTAAATAATTATTTTAAAACTATTTCAAACATGTTATATTGATTGCTTCAAAAATTTTGCTATGCTCTTCTTTCATATTTTATAAGCAGGTAAACAAGAGCAATCTATTTATAAAATGGTCCTGCCTGTTTATGAATCTTTATAGTAAACGCAAACGGATAAAAATTTACATCAGTACCTACTACCTGTCACAATCGGAGTTTTTGAGTCATTTGCTACTCGTAAGATACTATTTATTTCAAAAATGAAAAAGATATTCGAATCCGGTCATAAAAATATATTATTGTCTTTTCCAAAACCTTTTAAATATTTTTTTACTTAGTCAATATATTACGTTTTAAAAATTTTTCTCAAATAAAAATAGAGGTAAAATTTAGGAGTATATAAAAATTTGTATTTAAAAAATAATATTTGATTGTATTTTAGATAATATTTTCTAATTCCCTCTTCAAATTTTTTTTTACTATGTATTTATATCAATATTCAATAATTATCTTTCATTAATTATATTTTTAACTTGACCCCGAAGTTACTTCCCATATCTTGAGTTAACTTACTCTATGAGAAAAAAAAGCTGTTCACTTAAAAATAATGAAATGCTTTCAGTAACATATAAAACGTTGAAGGCGAGGGTTGTGCTTGTTGTTTTTCCGCTGTTTCAAGAATTTTGAAATATTTATGAATGAAAATATTAATATATTTTTTTGATTTTTTAATAATTTTTTCTAAATTTTACCTGCATTATAATAAGTGTAAATGTATTTTAATATTTCTTCTCAAAAAATAGCCACTACGATTTAAAAAAAACCCATATAAAATAAGGTCGTGCTTTCAAGTTTCTCTCTGAGCATTGGGACTTCTTAGACATAAAGACATTAATTAGCGTTTAAAAAGTAGGTATTCGTTAACGAATTAGAAAAACTAAAGAAAGGAGAATCTTTGTTTCTATCTTGCTTACACTCCCTAAAAAATCGTATCTTAAAAAAAAACATAGTGGAGCCAAAAATTTCTGGGAAGACCTTTTCTTTGCTCCGAGAATTGTCAAATTGAAAAATAACATTAAATGCCAAATGTTGTTTTTTTTTTCTTAGATAATTGCGCGCCGTCATATAAGAAGTAAACAAAGAAAGTTTTAATATTTTATTTATAAAGTTAGTGCAATTTGTAAATAAAAAATCAGAAAATATTTAATAATAAATGTTGAAAAAAGAATATTATTTTATAAAAACTTATAAAAAAATTATAACAATTGAAAAAGAGAAAAAAATTTGTTGAAAAAGAAAAAGGTGTATAGTTCTAAATTGTTATTTCCATTTGCAAAAAACAAATAATTTTTTTATACCATACACATGGCAATATTATTCATTTCAATAACTAAAAGAAATATCTTTCTTTAATAATTAAACTAAATATTTATTAAAAGGGTACTATTGAGCTTTGATTAGTTCATAATTTTATTTTATTAAGTTTTTAATTTTGCAAAGAAGGCATTTGGTTTTATTTAATCTAAAATTCCTTTGGATAACATACCAGTACCGGATTTAAGCAAAATGAGTTTATGTTTGATAAAATGCAGCATGCAAACAAGTAATTTAAATGACATTTTTACCGTTCGCATTGTGTATACCATAGGTAGGTTCTGTGATGGCAACAAATTTTGCAAATCTAGTTTTCGATAGGAGCTTCTCCATAGTAGGAAAGTGTACATAAATATTTTAAGCAACCTGTCGATCTGTCGGACTGTGTGTATCTCAAGTTCGGCTGAATCGATTTTGATTAAATTTTATATGTTAAATTAAATTATATATTGATTAAATTTTATATTTTTGATCGAGTTTATGTTGACTTTCGCTCAGAAAGTGATCTGAGTGCCGATTTTACATTTTTCACCATATCTACGGAACGAATTGATGGAATTTCTTGAAATTTGATATTTGAGTTCTAGTTGAATTCAGGGAATTCGGGTGGCATAAAACGAAACTCTACTAAGAGCCAAATTTACATTTTACGCTTACTAAGGTCCTACAAATTGGAAAGAAGTATTTAACAGGCGTTTTTATGACATTCTATAATACTTTCACTTAACTAGACAATACACATAGCGGTCGGTTATGAGCTGACCAAGATTTTTTTTTGTTTAATTACAGTTTTCCTGTAAAAGATGAAATGGAATATATTTCCCTTGAAAGATGAAATGGAATATATTTCCCATATGCAGATTTGGTCCTCAAAAAACATATGAAGATGTCCGGATGGCGTTGAATTCAGTAAGTAAAATAGAACATGAGTGTGAATTATTTATATTCTAAAATATTTTGTGTTTAAATGAATTAAGTTCAACTAATGAAGATGGAAGAATTTGAAAACATACCATCTACTTCAGTAAGTAATAACCATCATATTAATTAAACTTTGTTAAAAATTATACTGTTTTAGGGTCCTTAAAATTACATTTTAAGATTACATTTTAATTAATTAAAATTAAGTATTTATATTAATAGTTATTAATATTGTTTAGAGTTGTTTAATAAATTGTCAAGCAAAACTGATAATATAAGAAATTTTTTATTATTGTAATATGTTCATTTTCGACGGTCATAAAATATTGTGATATTAAAATACTTATAAGTATTTGCAATTTGTTCAAAAAAAAAAAAATAATGAGGTTTGTTTAAATTTGATTTTTTTTTTTTTGTATAGAGATATCTAAAGTGAAAAACATTTGATATATTTTTTACTTTTTACTTAAAAAAAAAGTTATCCTTCTTACAAATTACATATATTTTATAGAAGAACCAGACGAGAAAATAAAATAAAAACGCTGCTTTTACGACTTTGACAATGCTCGGAGCAAAGAAAGGGACAACTAGAAAATATTTGGCATCATTTGTTTTTTCAAGATGCTCCTTCCTTTATTATTCGTTATTATTCTTGTACAAATTTACAAAAAAACCAAAAATGTTTTTTTAAAAAAGGAATTTTTTTTTAAAGAAAAATTAAAATATCCGATGAAAAAGCACTTCGAATATATCGGAAAAATTCAATTTTATCCATTCGAATATCTGAAATGAATAAATTTTTCGTAACAGTTCGAATTATTTGATAATGAATATTCGATAGTTTCCATCACTAAATTAAAATCATACCGCATATATTTCATTTACCTATTGTGTTTCTTGTGCATTTTTTTTAAGTTAAATACTATATCACTGTTTAAAAAAGCAATTTGGATCATAAGTTTTTATTCGGTAAGATATAAATTTAAATTATTAAGTAATTTAAAAAATATACCAGTTATTTCTATATATTAAACGATTCCCATGAAAAGTTTTAAACAATATGGTGGATTGGCATTAGATAGTGAGTATAAATAGTTATCGAATATTTTATATACATACATGTATATATGTACATACGAGTTTTATAAACAACTTTGTTAAACAAATTAAAATTTCAAACTTTGTTTAAGGTGATCTCTTTGAAATAATGGCCAAAGAGGACAGTAGTGTAACCCAGGTAAATTTTATTTTTGAACTTTTCTAAACTTACAAACATTGTACAGTAAGGGGAAAAGGAAATTGTGTATTTTCAGGAACAAAACCATCACAATAATATAATAGTAACAAGATTTTTTTTTTAAATTGTGCTGCGGTAAAAAATAGGGATAATTGTAAAAACCAGTAAAGTGGTTGTGTAGCCAAAATTACAGCGGGACGGCAAAATAAACTGCACTCAGTGTTCCCACTTGGTAAAAACAAAATGTATCCAATTTCAAGGAAAAAATGTGTCCATAATGTATACAACGTCATAAAGTAGAATTTTTATACCAAACCGCCCTATTGTTGGTTTTTTTATTTATGGTAAATTCTTTAAGAAATCACATACAACTTCTATTATATTTTAAATGTGAAAGTTAAGGTCAGAAAAAACATATGCATATATGCCTTCTGTAGTAGTTGAATTATGTGCTAATGACAATTCACCATTAAAACGGAAAAATTTTAAAAAATATGTACAGCCAATGCATTTTCTATTACAACTAGCTTACACCAAAATATTTCTGGTACGTTCTTGTCTAAATGTTCTAGATTTAAATACAGGAAGAGGCAGTACTCATTTAATAAAGCAGATTTCTTACTTTCTTCTAGTAAACTCGGAAATCTGTTTAGAAAGGCCAGCAAATAACACTTTAAAGATAAAGCAATTTCGCGTTTTAATATTAGCAGCATTTTACAGTTTTGTAACATTTATTTAGTGTTTGAGAAATAAATGTATCCATATTTCAGCAAAATTTTGAATTGTTGCAAATTTCGGCATTTTAGCAAATTTGAGTATCTTTGTATCCAAGTTAAATTTAAAGCAAAAAATGTATCCAAGTGGGAAGGCTGACTGCACTATTTTGCATATAATGTCACACATCCACGCAAACAGATAATGTCAATTATTAAACCGCCAGCTGTAAAATAGGAATTTAGGCTATTTTACCACCAGCAGTAATTTCGCTTGATTCTGTGTAGTCCTATTTAAATTTGTGTATTCTATAAATCTGTTTTCGCCGCGCAACATCGTTGTTTCTGTTTTCAAATTAACAACATAGGGTATAATAGGAAAGTAATCAACAATGTGCATCAGCGGAGCATCGATGCAAAAAAAGTCACTGATGCGTTTACCTTGCTGATGCAATATTATTTTGACATCTTCGAAAACTTTCTAAATCATGTTTTTTGGAGTTTCTTTTGAACAAATTTTGTGTAAAAGTAATAAAATTATTAACAACTGAAAATCTATTAAAAAAAGTTTTTAATTTCTACTAAGTTATGGAGATTTTAATATAATGGAACATTTGAAAATGTTAATAGCGTGCATAAAGAAATAATTAAAATAATTAGTTATTGAATTAAAATAATAAATTATTTACTTCTCAGCAGAAGCTGACAAAAATAATAGAAATTTAAAAAACTTTTCAGCTTCCATTTAAAAAAGTTTTCAGCTTCCATTTAAAAAACTTTGCATCAATACAAAATCACAATTGATGCACAACTGATTTAATATCATGCGCATAAGATGCGTATTTTTGGCATTTTAGGACACCAAACTTGAAAGTATTACAGTTTTTATACATTTTCGTACATGATTTTTACATAACTATCCATCGATGCTATGATGATTACTTTCCGATTATAAGAGATCAACCAAATCCATTGGCGCTTATATCCTTAGATAACATATAGGTAAATATGTAGCAATATTATTTAAATCGCTTTAATTAATTATTACTTTATTATTATATATTTGTACATATATTTAAAAATTATTATGTATATTATTATATATTTGTGCATATATTTAAAAATTTGTACATTTATTTCAAAATTATTTTACTAAACATTTCACAATCGCCTCAGAAAACCTCAAAATAATATAAACTACCAAGTCAAAATAACAAAGTCTTAAGAATTAATTACAATCACTTGCAATTTGCATGTGCCTACTCTTGATATTTCTCTCGAAATAATTTTATTCACTTGGCGAACCTTCTATATCTTCTAGTCGAAATCCAGAACAATGACATTTGTTTCGCGACTAGTAATATAAAAATGATAATCCTTTATAAATATTAAATAATATTGAATACCAATACATATTACGTAACAAAATAAAATTTGTTAATTTTAAATAACTTAAATATAAGGATGTTTATTAAAATATAAATTAAATGGTAAATTTGTTATTCAATTGTAATGGTTTGCAAATTGAGCATCCAAATATTCTGATCTTATAACAAACCCATAATGTGATATTCATAGATTAATAGATTATTATATGTATTTGGTACAGTAAGAACTGTGTTTCCTAAATAGATGTTAGCAATTGATGTCTCTTACAAATTATTCTAACGGCGGATTTGGATTTCATAAACACTTCACCAGGATGCAAAGGTATTGGTTGTTTGGTCAGTCGACATGGTTGATTCGACAAGATCGGCAGCACAATCAGGACAAATGTGTCGTTTTACTAGCAGATCGTCGTAGAATTTTTGATTGCTGGTCGCCTGTCTAAGCCACTAATTGTTTTGTTTAGGAACTAGTTAAAATCTTCGATTTGAACCTTCGACATCTGGTTCAGATCTCTCCCAGCTGTGATTGTGACATGTGATACGCTACAATCCCTCGAATTGTCGTTTGACTTCCAAAGATCTTATTTTGGCCACATCCTCAATATCTGATGTTCAGCTTCTGAAAAACGCACGATAGATAGTGTTTACATATGTTACCCATTTAACGGCACTAATAAGGACCTTAACCTTCTCTGCCTTAAATGCCAATTATGTATATCCGCAGCTGACCAACTTATCTTAACGCTAAACTGAACGCAGAAAAGGGTAAAGTAGTAACGAGCAAACATTTTTGTTAGATCTTGAAAGCACCACCCTACCAGCTTCGAGGATTTGGGGCCACAGTTTGGTTTTAAGCCACGATCGCGATGTGCCTGTTTTTCACTATTAATAAAGACATTACTAACCACAACAGGTGACCAATCTAAGATCTCACGCGGCTTCAATAGGGCGAAAGCTTCTTTTAAAATACTCAATATATTTAAAAGGCGAAAACGCGAGATTAGGATGCGTAACGAAAATAGCTCAACTGCGTAGCGAAAATTGCAGGTGGACGAGCTTGCCCTCTTAGTGTCTAAATATTTTACCTCTGCGGCATTTATACTTTTATAAATTTTTAAACTTTTATTTTTAAGATCTGGTTACCTTTCGCTTAAAGCCGTTCCAATATATAACGTTAGATCTAAAAATTTATTTCTGTATTAAAAGAGTGTTCCTCTTATTTTGGAAACTTTTGATGCTTTGGTCTCGAAAAATATATTATTAAGTCTCATCTGCAATTATGGCTGAAATAGATTAATAATGAATTTTTTTGTATTGAAAATTTAGCTAACTTGTTACGTCAAAAATTACAGAATTTAATTATCAAAAAACTAATAGATATTTCAAAATCTTGAAATAATTTTTAATATTGTTTCTTGTTTTTATTTTTTTTAATTTTCCTTTTTTTTATTGTCTTTTGTTTTTTCCTTGATCCACTTAGGAAAATTAGGATTTTCTTATTAATATTTTAGAGTATAGTTTCAGTTTCATAAGTAATTGAGTTATCTAGACTATTGACTAAAGTGCTGTATTTTTTTCTTTATTTTAAAAATTTGAGTTTATTGATAATAACTGTTTTTAACGACCGTATTGTGTATACAATAGGTAGGTTATGTGATGGCAACAAATTTTGCATATCGAGTTTTCGGTGGGAATGCACTTCTCCATAGTAGGGAAGTGTAAGTAGACTATTTTTAGCAACCTGTCGGTCTGTCGGTCTGTCCGTCTGTCGGTCTGTCGGTATGTCCGTCTGTCGGTCTGTCGGTCTGTGTGTGCACGCGTGTATCTCAAGTTCTGCTGAACCGATTTTAATGAAATTTTATATGTAAGTTTATTTCCACCATGGCACGGATTGATTAATTTTTGGGATATTCCAGGTCTCGGGAACTGCACTTTTTAGCGGGCCTGTTTTACATTTTTGAACATTTTGAAGAAAATATTCAACCGATTTTCTTGAACTTTTATATATAAGCTTTGCTCGACCGTCCGCAAAAAAATCCTAACTTTTGGAAGAAATCAGGCATCAGCAACTGGACGTTTACTACAGGCCACATATACATTTTTGCGTATATAAAGAGAAATAATGAACCGATTTCATTGAAATTTAATATTTAAATTCTTCGTATTGAAACAATGAACATATACATTTTTTGGAAAGATCAGGGCTCGAAAACTGATCTGCGGGCCGATATTACATTTTTCACCACATCTACGGAACGAATTGATGGAATTTCTTGAAATTTGATATTTGAGTTCTGGTTGGTACCGAAACTAACTGGTGAGCATTTCAGGGAATTCGGGTAGCACAAAGCGAAACTCTACTAAGAGCCAAATTTACATTTTTCTAGGTTTGTTAACTATAAGCTTACTAATGTCCTAAAAATTGGAAAGAAGTATTTAACAGACATTTTTTATAATTTTCTGTAACATTTTCACTTAACTAGACAATACACATTGCGGTCGGTTATGTGCTGACCACATCAGATTTTTTTTTATTGGTATTTAATATCGACCGCAATATAGATGTATGAATAATTATTATATACTAAGCAGCCCCGGATTTATCATACATGCAAAGTATGCATTTGCAATGGGCGATAAAAAATAGGGGCGCCATTGAAAACTTAAAAAACCCCTAAATTCAAAAAAAAAAATTTTCACCCAAAAAAAGGATTCCAAGTTTTTTTTTATACATCAATTTATAGCGAAATTAACTTAATAAAATCTACCTACATGCAAACATAATATTTTGTTCCTACACATATTTTCTATTTGCACCATATAACAAAAAATGTTCATAGAATGAAAATTACTCATACATTTCTTTACTCTACACTACTCTTTCATTCTTATTTTTTAT